CGCTGGCCGACCATGGTAATTATTTATATAAACCTTTCCCTGTTCAAATTACTGTGTGGTCTCTCCTTCCTTAATGAAACCAGTCTGATCCATTTCCAATTTCTCTGGCCCCTTTTTCTCAATTTTCAGCATTCTATAACATTAGCGCTGCTCAAGGTTCTCCTCCTCTGGTTTCTGTAACAGGCTCTATAAGCAACTCACCTGCTTACCTACGTCAGTTATGAGGGTTTTTTGTTGTTGTTTTAGAGAGTTTTTCTGTAGGGCACATGCACTTGCGGGAGAGACAGAGAGAGAGAAAGCGAGAAATCACATTGCAGGGAGGCTGCATTCCTTTCTCTTCCAGTCTCCTCGGGATTTTGCACACACATGCGTGCACCTGGTGTGAGTTTTAAAGCCTGTGGGTCCAAGACTCGAACCTCAATTGACTATGTGGAAGTCCAGCAACATAACCATTATGCCATCTGCTGGTCCCTTCAGTTATGAGGTTTAACCAATTTTTTTTGTTTTGTTTGTTTGTTTATTTTTTAGGTTTTTGCCATAGGGCACATGTACTGGCCAGAGGACAGAGAGAAGGAAAGTGAGAAATCACCCCCTCAGGGGAGATGGCTATATTGCAATTCCTCCTCCTCCAGTCTCCTCTTGGGATTTTGGGCATGTGCAGACACACGCCCAGCATGATTTTCAAGCCCAGGTCCCAGACTCAAACCACTGTTGGCCCTGTGGGGATCCAGTGCCTTAACTACTACGCCACTCACTGGCTCACCAATGGTTTTTAATCTGAGCTCCATGGATGACTCCATATTTATAAACTACTTGAAATCCTATGCAAATTTTGTGTAGATATGCAAATGTGCCTACATATGGGGAGAAAGTTTCCTGCTTTATCTTCGGGCAATATGGCCCAGTAGTTAAGGGCATAAAGACTGGATATAACCTGGTTACGTGTTTTTTTGTTTTTTTTAACTTTATTTATTATTTTTTTTTTCTGACCAGAGAGGGACAGAGCGAGACAGCGAGAGAGCGGGAGGGTGGGAGGGAGGAGTGAGAAAGCAAGCCATTAGGTTTAGGACTTGAACTACAGCCGGCCATGTTGGAGTCCAGCGCCCTTAACCACCACACCATCTGCAGGCCCCCAACCTGGTCAAGTTTGAATCCCAGCTCAGCCACTATTGTGGTAGGCAGTTAGCCAGCCATGAGTGGGCAGCCCTAAGAGAAAAGCAAAAGGCTCTCCTAGCCCCGGGTGCCAGGAGGGCGAGATAATTTGCCATATTCCTTCCTTAAGGCTTAAGGGAAGCATACAGGGATAATTCATAGATTTTTCTTTTATCAAAAGGACCCAAGCAAGTATTTTGGTCATTAAGGCGATAGACTAATTGGGGAATCTAATTGGGGCAACCTGACTAGCACTGGACGTACGCAATTAGGTGATTGAATTCCTCACTTTACCTGTGAGGAACGTGCGCAGGTGCAGGAGAGAAAGTATGGATTCAAATTTAAAGAAAGGACATAGGCAGCGTAAGGGGCCTCCCACTAATGAATATTCATGACCTCTAGTAATAAAATAACGGTTAACTAGTACCAAGCGCGGTTGCCACTTGGCAATCCGCCCGCCCAACAACCTTTTTGGGTGTACTTTCTTTCTTTCCTTTCTTTCTATTAAACCTTCTTTTCTATCTACTTCATTCGTGGTTGCGGTTTCATTTTGCACCTAGGGACAGATCTCTAATTTTAGTGATCTGAACCCAAAGAACCAAGGATTTCACAACGCAGCTCAACACTTTCCCATCTGTTATCACTATGACCTAGTACAACGTATTTAACCTCATGTTGCCTCAATTTCCTTACCTGCAAATCAGGAAAAATTATAGCACTCACCTAATACTGTTGTTATGGGAGTTCATTAAGTTAATATATAAGAAGCAGTATGTGAATGTGACCAAAATCCCAACAGGATGGAGAAAGGGAGGAGAAAGGGCTTGCAACATGACCACTCCCTATTAGGGAGGGATTTCTCTCTCTCTTACTCACTCACTCACCTCCCCTCTGTCTCTCTCTGGCAAGTGCATGTGCCCTCTGGCAATTAAAAAAACATTGTCATTTCTGGCACTCCCTCTTGCCCCTGGGCCCAGACCAGACCAATTTCTGTTGCTCTAGGGCAGCCTATGCTCTCTGCGAGATTTAAGGTAGGCTCTTTCCTCTACTGGGGCAGTCTTGCCTGTGAGTTGCCTGCCAATATTATCTCTGGCCTCAGCTCTAATATTATTTTCCCAAAGAAGCCTTTCCTGATATCTAGACCAAGAAAGGCCTCCCTACTGTAAGCTCTGAAGTATTCTCTATTTCCCTTCATAACTCTCATCATAATTCACTTACTGTGATCTTACTTTTTATTTTTTATAGATTTTTGCTATAGGGCATGTGCACTTGCTGTAGAGACAGAGAAAACAAGAAATCATCCCCCAGGGGGATAGCCACACCTCAATCCCTTCTCCTCCATTTTCCTTTCAAGATTTAGGCATGCATGTACACATGCCCTGGCGTGAGATTCAAGCTGCCGGTTTCAAGACTCCAAACATGGCCAACCAGGTGGAGTCCAACACCTTAACTGCTACACCACTGGCTGGGCCCATGATCTTACTCATTTAAAATCTACCAGATAGTACAAAATAGCTCTGCGACGGCAGAGGTCAAGACTCCCTACCGGACCTTAGCACAGTGCCTGCTACATTGTAGGGAGACCATCAACATTTGCAAAAAATGAATGAGTGAATGAAGGAACAAAACATGTGAAAGACTTTTATGAAGTTCTAAAATCCTATATAAATAAGGCCAGCAGGTGGTGTGGTGGCTAAGGCAATGGATTCCCACATGACTAAGTGTAGTTTGAGTTCTAGGACCTGGCAGCTTGCTTTCTCACTTTCTTTTCTCTTTCTCTCTCTCTCCCTTTCTCTCTCATAAGCGCATGTGGCCTACAGGAAATTTTAAAAGAATAATAATAATTAAATAAATCTTTTTAAAAAAATCCTGTACAAGGCCAGCAGGTGGCATAGTGGTTAAGGGTGCTGGACTCCCACATGGCCAACCTTGGTTCAAGTCCCGGGCCTGGCAGCTTGCTTTGTCACTTTCCCTCTCTCTCTCGCTCTTGCTCCATCCTTCTCTAGTCAAATTAAAATAAATAAATAAATAAAGTGGGGTTTTTTTGAGAGTTATTTGCTATAGGGCACATGCACTCACCCGAAAAAGAGAGAAAGAGAGATAGAAAGTGAGAAATCTCCTGGGGGAATGGCCATGCTGCAATCCCTTCTCCTCTATTATCCTCTTGGGATCTTGGGCACGCACACACACATACCTGGCGTGAGTTTAAACCACCAGGTCTGGGACTTCGAACAGCGGTCAACTACATGGGAGTTCAGCAACATAGCCATTACCCTAACTGCTGGTCCCAATAAATAAAGTTTTTAAAAATCCTATACAAATAATAGGTAACATAATGACAATGTGACAAAATCTGATAAATATTAGATGATTGACAGTTAAACGAGGGGAGAGCAGCAGATGGCATAGCAGTTACATTGCTGGACTCCCTCATGGTCAACCATGATTTGAATCCCAGATTTGGTGGCTTGAATGGTCAGTTGAGAGTGTGCGCATGTGTGCCCAAGACCCAGGAAGGAGAATGGAGAAGAAGAGATTGTGGCATGGTCATCTTCCCCGGGGGGAGGGAGTGATTCTCACTTTCCCTCTCACTGTCTCTGTCTCTCCAGTGAGTGCGCATAACCTAAGGCAAAAACCTATTTAAAAAAAAAGATTTTATTTAACTTTATATAATTATTTATTTTGACCAAAGAGGGCCAGAGCAAGAGAGAGAAAGCAAGCCACCAAGTCCAGGACTTCAGCCATGTGGGTGTCTAGTGCCCTTAACCACCACACCATCTGCCGTTTCTGGCAAAAAACCTCTTTAAAAAGAGAGAGAGAGAGAGAGAAAGTTAAATTGGAAGGCCATCAGGAGGCAGGTTGGTTAAAGCGCTGAACTCCATCCAATATGGTGGATGCAGTTCAGGCCCTGGACCCAGTGGGTTGCTTTCTCACTTTCCCTCTCTTTCTCTTTCTCTCTCTCTGGTAAAATTAAAATAATATAAATAAATAAATAAATAATTCTTTAAAAATACTAAAATGTAAAATAAATTAAAAAAAAAAAAAGCTAATTGGTAGGAATTTGTATTGCTATAAAATATATTGATTCAAAGTGACCTTAGAACATGTGTCTTTCAGTCAAATGGAAATGATTTTGCAAAAACCCCAACCAGAAAATAATAGTGTGTGCCTTCAAGGAATCAGACAAATACTGACTTGATAAAACAACACACAGAATCACCCCCAGGAAGTAGACTTAGATGAAAGGAATGCTTGAACAGGGAAACCGTTATTCTCAAAGAACACGCTCATGGCCTTAATTTGAGACAGGGTTACATACTTTCATGAGTTGACAAAACCAACTACGTCCAAATTCATTGCCACCCTGGGAATGAATATGTAAGTAACCCAAGTCACCAGAAAAACTGTATTATCAATTAACACTCCGCACCACCCGAAAAACGAGGAGGGCTACCATCATAATTCAAAATAGCCCTAGTGCTTCCTCTTCATTGGACGAAGGAATACCTGCGGAGGAAGAGGTTCACACGCCCCCCACCGCCGCAACTGTCAGACGCCAACGGTTCCTCTGCTGTTATCGACCTTAGGTTTCCCAGAAGCCAGTATCTGATCTCCAGGAGACACAATGCGGTAATTGGCTAATTATGGCTGAGAACTGGACGTGGGCCGCGGGAGATTTCACAAGAGGCCACAGGCGCTGCAGGTAGAGGCTGTGAAGGCTGGCGGATCCCACGGCGCTGCGCGCTGGGCGGTG